ACTATATAATTTAATAATATTTTTATAAATGTTTTTATTTAAAATATTTTCTTTATGTTTGTAAAAAATTAAAAATTAAAAAAAAATTCAAAATTAATAATATTATTTGAATTTATATTTATATATATCAAAGGATAAATTACAAATACATCTCCTGATATTTGCTTAAAATACGAATTTGTGGTTTGGAAAATTACAAATACTTCCCTGTCAGAATTTTTTATTTGACAGAATTAATTGAAAAAGTGAAATTTCTAACTGTTCACCTATACAATAATAAAATTATCTGAATTATTAATTGAAATAAAATTTTACTATTATTAAAAATTGTTAATTAACTTGATTTATTAATAAAAAAACCTATTTATTATGAAATTAGAAATCTTAGAAGGCATAATGTAATTTCTAGAATCACAAAAAGTAATTTGTAATTTAAGTAAGGCTCAGAGAGTGTTTGTAATTTATCCTAATCCCTTCTTCTTATGAGATTCATAAGTGAAATATTATATAAATTTTTCTTACTCAACCGATGACATGAAACTATTATATTATGAAATAGATACAGTTAAATGAAATATTATATAAATTAATATATTATATAATTTTTTTACGTAACTGATGACGTGAAACTATCATATTATGAAATAGATAAGGTTCAATTTAATATTATATAAATTTTTCTTACTCAACCGATAACGTGAAACTATTATATTATGAAATAGATACAGTTTCTCATTTTTAATTTTATTATTACATGTTATATCAGTTAATATATAAAAAAAAATGATAAAACTTTTTAGTTTATGTAGCAATTTCAACGTCGGTAAATACTGCCCATCACTCTAAAAAGTTAATGACAAATGAAAAAAGACAAATCAAAAATAAAATAAAATATAACAAAATCACGCATATTCCATCCACACACAACTGGATATACCAAACCAAGGCAATTCTTGACATATTATATACACATAAGTAAGTTACTTCACAAAATATACGTATCTTATTTTATAAAATTATGTAAATTTTTACAAATATATCTATATTAATTCATAAAAATTTAAAAAATCACAATTTACATATATTTGTGAAAATTTATGTAATTTTGTGAGATAATTTATGTACATTTGTGAGAATTTATACAAGTACATATGGTATGCACTTTACACACTCAAACACTTCTCATATTAAGATATAGATTAAAAATTGAAAAAAAATATTATTTTTCCCACCAAATTATTATTTAAAAATCAATTTTAACCTCTATCTTTTTTCATAATATCAATTTTATATTTGATTTTGCATCAATTGTACTTTCACCGTCAATTACCGTCTATAATCAACAAAAGTTGTTGATGTGAAACCCAAACTTCATTTGAAATTTTATTTTATCCCACAAACTATTCACAAATTATCAATCAGACCCTTGAATAAAATGAAGTTTGGAAATCTAAATGATATTTTAGAGATTGTTTTTGGGATAAAATAAAATTTCAAATAAAATTTCGATGTCACGTCAATAACTTTCGACAGTTAGTAATGAGATAAAATTAATTTAAAATCAAATAATTTATGTAAAAAATTGATATTACTAAAAATAGGAATTAAATTGATTTTTGAGTGATAATTTGAGAATAAAATAATATTTCCTCTTAAAATTTATCAAAATATTAAGTAACAAGAAATTTTAATACTGAGCTAAATTTATAATTATTGATGTATAAACATCGATGAAGATTGTTATGATTTCACCACTGCGGCAAACACTAATACTATACTACACCCCCACCCCTACCAACATCACATCTGCAACTACCACCTGTTGCCACTACTTTCACCTCTTGACCAGCACTATCACAACTTCTCATTTGCATCACCATTGCTACCGTTATTATAACCACCACAAGTACCACCACTACCTTTTTACATCCAATACGCCACCCCTCCATCATCACCACAAAGCACTATCCCTCTACCCCCACCTCAATCACCCCAATACAAAAATGAGAAAATGAATGTTAAAGATAATAAATTTCAATTTTCCATGTTATGCATATTAAACTTGTTTTAATTTAACACTTAAATTTTTATCAAACACTAACTAACCAACTTCCTTAGTTTAGTTGGTTCAGAAAATCCTGCCACAGCAGGTGAGAGATGTGGCTGCAAATGAGCTAGCTAAGTAATAAGTTGTTTTAACATAAAAACATAACAAATTTCAAAACATGTTCAAGTATATGCATATTTACATAAACCAATCTTGAACGAGCTTTACAAGTCAAACACAAGTAATTTAATTTATTTTTTTACAATACATGTATATATTTACTGAGTTGAATACTAAATTGTTCAAGTTTAGTTTGAATACGTAACAAAAATTAAAATATATTAAACCTAGGTGTCAAGCTCGAAATATCTTGGTTTGTTTTGCAACCTAGTGAGGGAGGAGCTGAGCTTATACTTTCAAAGTTGCCAAAAGTGGATGATCATAGCAAAACGTAGGGTTCACGTCGCCCTTCACCACCGATTTATCTTCCCAAATGAGGGATGATTGCCCATCTGTAAATTTGAATGAAAAAAGAAAGTTGGATTTTTGGGTTGGTGGGTTGAGTCACTTGAGAACACACCCCCCAACGTAACATAACCCCACTCACTCCATCTATTTCACGTCCCACATTACGCGCCTGTAACCCACACCATCCAAAAAGAGTACTATTACCTTTTTTTTGGGACATGAATCACACACACACCCCTTCCCATAAATACACGCTGGCCTACAAACTCAAATTAACACCTCAATGGCAAAATAGTAAACAAACAATCCTAAGGACTAAACGGTTTAAAAGAAAAAAATTAGGACCACGTGATCTACAAGATGACAAAATGGGATTTACTGGTCAATTCCCCAAAAATAAATAGTATATTTTTAAAATCATCTTATTATTTATTTCTTACAAACAAATATGCCCAAATTATGTCTATACTTATTGGATAAATATAATTTGTTAAACAATAATCTAAATATAAGTGGATACTTAAAAAATGAACAATTTAGATTATCAAATTGGAGTTCATGATGGGCTTACGAACCAAAATTAGATTGGAGACAAGCCAACATCTTTAGAAGAAAAAAACACCCATCTATGAATTGGACATGCAATTTGCTTGTTGTGGGCTCACTTCGAATGAGTTTCAGCAATTTAAACCTTTCAATTTGTAAGATCTTTAAAAAAAAATTATCCTTACAAAAAATATATTAATCAAAAATTGATAATCACGTAATTGGATTACAAAATAATATTAAAAAAAATGGAACAAACAGTTTTTCTTAAAATCAGGCTTTGTGCTCCATTTTGCTCGTGCATTATTTTTTAATTTGATCACATGACTACTGATATTTGATTAATTTTATTTTTTATATTGATGAACTATCGAATAGGCCTTATAAAATAAGCAGTACTCCTCTCGCCATGTCTTAAAAAATAAGTTGTTTAAATTACCAACATAAATGCGGCCACAACAATCAAATTGCACCAAACAATCCAAATACATAGCGGTTATTTGGCAACTTGCCAAAAAACCATTTTTTTGGACTAAAAAGGCCAAAAAATCATAATTGTTTTGGCAAGTTGAATCACAGCAACTTCTCAAATACAAAAACTTTTTTAATTCCTATAATAAAAATAAAAAGAGACAAATTTAAAAATTTATGATTTTAATTATTAATATTTATAATAATTATCATTTTTTTATAATTGTTTTCTGACACCATTATAATTTCCCCAAATAAAAATGCAATCAAAAAAAAGTTATGTTCTTGAATTTTGTATAACTACCACCTGTTGCCACTACTTTCACCTCTTGACCAGCACTATCACAACTTCTCATTTGCATCACCATTGCTACCGTTATTATAACCACCACAAGTACCACCACCACCCTTTTACATCCAATACACCACCCCTCTATCATCACCACAAAGCACTATCCCTCTGCCCCCACCTCAATCACCCCAATACAAAAATGAGAAAATGAATGTTAAAGATAATAAATTTCAATTTTCCATCTTATGCATATTAAACTTGTTTTAATTTAACACTTAAATTTTTATCAAACACTAACTAACCAACTTCCTTAGTTTAGTTGGTTCAGAAAATCCTGCCACAGCAGGTGAGAGATGTGGCTGCAAATGAGCTAGCTAAGTAATAAGTTGTTTTAACATAAAAACATAACAAATTTCAAAACATGTTCAAGTATATGCATATTTACATAAACCAATCTTGAACGAGCTTTACAAGTCAAACACAAGTAATTTAATTTTTTTTTTTACAATACATGTATATATTTACTGAGTTGAATACTAAATTGTTCAAGTTCAATTTGAATACGTAACAAAAATTAAAATATACTAAACCAAGGCGTCAAGGTCGAAATATCTTGGTTAGTTTTGCAACCTAGTGAGGGACGAGCTAAGCTTATACTTTTAAAACAACTTAAAATTTTATATTTTATTGCAATACACCCCTCAATATTCCATCCCTAACCTCTCATCTCCTCCTTACACCTACCCTATCTCTCTCTTTCTCCCTACTCTCTCTCAACCAAATCTAAGGTTTCAAGGTGGCAGCTAGGGTTCCAAAAGGTGGTGAGGTCAGCAGCAAGGGTTTCAAACGGCAGTGGAATGGCAACATTTGACAGCTAGGGTTTAAAAGGGACGATAGGATACTCAGCTAGTTTTGTTAGTTCACAAACTCCTGCCACAACATGTCACGGGGGGAAATTACATATGGCAACACCTGGTTTTGGTTAATATTTATCAGTCTAAAAAAATCAAACATCAAGACTAGTACAAAAATTTGCAAGCTGTTTCAGAACATTAATAACCAAGTGCGGTAAAATAAGAACACACTAGCATATTACAATCTACCCAAGTTGTAAGCAGAAGCAGCACCATGAATCATGGCTGACAAGCTGGTATCACCCAATAGTAAAACATGAACTTCAAATAATCAATGCTTATATATATTCCACTAAAAAGAAACATTCTGTTGACCTTTTACCTCAATAATTTAGTGACACTCCACATTCTCGGACCTCATCAAAAATACAAAGTACAATGAATATGAGGTTTCGCATATGTTTAGTGACCATCATATGGGATAATCTGTGCGAGAGTGAGGGAGGGAGAGAGAGAGAGAGAACAAATACAAAATTTAACACGACAAAATATTGGGCATAACCTCAATCACCTTGCTCGATATTCAAGATCACATTTGCCCCTCTGCTTGTCACGTTGGCATATACTAACCCACAAAGGATAAAGGGTGATGTCGTCTGCACTGGAAATAATATATATATTTACCATAATTTGGTAAACAATATCCAATAAACATGTTTGCCGCTGGCCCAAGACAATCGACTTGTGGGTCAGCTTTAGAGTCAAGTCTCGTCATCAGAACTGTCAAATGTTATTTTTGTAGCTTTTGGAGCATTAGCAGCAATCTCCTTAAAATGAGCCCCATAAAGCTTAGACTCCTGCAACATCAAAACAACATAAGACAATTAGTAGTAATTCAAACTAAGGCTTAGTTTACTTTGGCAAAAAATATTTTCTACATTTTCTAGTGTTTGGTATGATGACAAATGTTTTTTGTGGTTAACATAAAACAAGTTTATTTCGGCAAAAAAATGTTTTTTGAACTTCTGAAATGTGATAAACATTTTTCGAGCTGAAGTCTTCCAATGCCAATGCCAATGCCAATGCCACTGCCACCTTACCACCACCTTCGCCACTCACCACTGCCATGACCATCTCACCACCACCTCAGCCACTCACCACCACCCCATCACCACCACCTCCACCTCCACCTCCACTACCACTAATACCACCACTAGTACATTAGTTTCAAAGTTGCAACCAAACAGAAGAAAACGTTTTCTGGAAGAACAAAATTTCTGCAGGAAAATGTTTTTTGCCGAAACAAACAAAGCATTAAGTAGTATAATCTGCACTCCTAAACATGCATAACCCATAAACAATAGGATGCCATGACAATTCTCACGAGGCTTAATCAAGATTTAATAAAGACATCATTGAACATATGCCACAGAATTGCACTCATGCACAAACTGCGCACATTTACAGAACGGTAGATATTATGCACCAATACAAGAGATGGCACTAAATAGAAGAAGTTCATGCTCTTAAGCTTCCTCATGTTGTTCACCTAAAAATTATCATTAAAATTCAAGTTTAATATTTCTTTCAATATGCATGTATGCCTTGCACTTGGTAATAAGTCAAACACATAATTAAGTTGTAATCTTTCATGACACAAATGTTCCGTTTATACAAGGGAATATATGATACATTGACATGAGCACTAAGTTCCATATGTTTATTTATGAATTCCAACATTGAACCAATATCCATCCACAGAGTATATGAAAATGAGGAGGTTCTGCAATTGCAGGGGAAAATTTGTGCACAATACACTATTCTTCCACAAATTCAAATAGTAAAACACAAGGCAAGAATGATGTTAAAAGCATGCCGACATATGAGCGGTTAATGGAAAACATTTAAGTTGCTCCCCATCCCAGCACTACTAGACTCATTAGACGCTTCTAAGCATGTTTAGTCTACAAACCCACACCCACACACATACATTAAGGCAAACTCGAGCGGAGTTTTTTTTTTTTTTTTGGGAGAAATGCTACCACCGAAAGAAGACTACAAAATACACATCAATTATATAATCCTATACATTAACATCTTATCTATCTCTGCTTGCCAAGTTCTAATGTATATTTTGCATGTGCTCCATGTGCCTGTTCATGCAACAAAGAAAAAATTACCCTACATGTCAGATTATGTATCAGATAGGTTCCCCTACGAGCATCAAGCTTTAAGGAATTACACATCAAACACCACAACACTAATTATAAGAACCCTCCTCCTACTCCATCCATCTCCTATAAAATAAAACCAATAAATAAATAAATAAATAATCAAAGAAAAGAAAAGAACACCTTTTTCTTTACATGAGTGCCAAAGTTTATAAGGGCAGCAGGAACGGTTTGCCCAGCTTCTCTCAGAACATTGACCAGCTCCCCAGCTAATCCCTGAAGTAAAATCAATTGTTGCTCATCAGAAAATATGAATTAAGTGACATTGTTCCATTCAGGAAATCAAAAAACAGTATTAGTATTTTATAATAATACAAAATTATACCTTGTTTTCCTTCATGAAAAATGTGTGGGCAACACCCTTCTTACCAGCTCGTCCAGTCCTGCCTATTCTGTGGACATAATCCTCTGTTGTGAGAGGAAAACTATAATTTATCACTACTTCAACATCAGGAATATCCAATCCTCGGGCAGCCACATCAGTGGCTATCTGCAGAAATATAACGTAACCAAAATGAACAGGCTTATAAAAAATCAACAACTATGGCAAAGAAATCAATATATTAAGGAACAAAGCAAGAAATCACAGATTAAAACGGTGCCAGCTTATCTTCACAAGAAAAGGAGGGGGGAGAAAAAAAAACAAAAGACAAACTAGATGATACGAGTGTTGCAACACCAGACAAATCACAACACTCCACTATAAATAGTCAAAACAGCCAACACGAGCAAATCACCTTAGTTTATGTCCAAAAATAAATAAATAAAAAATACTCACCAGGAATGAAAGAGATGGTAAAGGTGTCCCATTTTATAATGGAATTAAAAACTATGGTTGGGACTTGGGAGAGAGAAGTTTGCACAGGAGTGGGAGGAGGAAGTAGCATCCAGTAAAACCTTAATTTGTGCATATGGAGAATAAGGAGCAAAATTTTAGTGCAGATAAAGCAAGCAGAGTGTGTCTTTGTTTGTAAAGAAAGATCAAAGGATAAAAATACGATTTCTACTGAATCATGGAGACCAAGACCATAATGAAGGAAATATGCATAAATGTGTTGGTTCTCCCAAGCCATATTATAAAGGAACGTGAATAACAAAGAAAATATGAGCACATTAACCAAAATGTTCAGCATAACCATCATCGTGAGTTCATGACATTACTTTCAAACCACCACATACCATTAAAGGACAGCTTCCCTCCTTGAATAGCGATAGTGCCTTTGTACGTGCATGTTGTGCTTTGTCACCATGGATAGAAACTACTTTCCAACCCCTTGATACCATAAGAGTAAAAAAGTAAGAGAGGCAAGTTAGTAAACCTTTGACACATTCAACAATAAAAAATAAATAAAAAAAATTTATAACCATATCTCAATGGACTGGCAATTCAATGGCAACAGTTTATTAGATTGATGAAACTAAAACAGAAATTATGGGAAGATAAGTGAGAAATTAACCTTTTCTGAAGCATAGTTTCAACGCGGGCTGCTTCCTTCTTGTACAAAACAAAGACCAATACTCTATTCCTGCTCAAAGTAAGACCAGCATAACAAAGAAACTGTATCAGCAGGACTGATACCAAGAACGAAATCCATTCAAGAGTTTTTCCATTTTGAGAGCTATCGAACATGCACAGCATAGTAAATTACATTACACCATCCACTCGCAACTAAAACAGTTTGGCACTAAATAATATGGCAAAAAAGATTCATGTAGCCGACCCCTCTTGTTTGGGACACAAGCCTTTGTTTGGCTTGGTTTGGTTATCAACTAATATAATTGGAACAGATATGAAGTTCGAGATTTGATAATTAGAACCAAAATACCAACGCCTTCAGCTTGAATGGGCATATGAAGAGAATTAGAAAAATCAGTCTTAAGCAATCTATAAGGTTAAATCAAGAATCCTGGTTAAACATCACCACAATTTACTGAAACTCAAAATAAATCTTAAACCAATCAATAAGGGAGAAATAGTGTCAATGGCGGTGTTTGGGAAGATGAATTTTTGGTTTTTTTGGTTTTTTTCCACTAAAAGACAAATTAGTTACAAAACCAAAAAAAACAAATCCAAACAAAATATCACATCAAGCCCCATAATCATTTTACTTTTTCTCTCACAAACATCACATCCAACCACAAAAAAACCCAACTATCTTCCCAAACACAAAAAAAAAATTCTCCAATAATATCCCACAACCAAAAAAACCTACTTCCCAAACACCCACAATGATTAGCAAAAGATACCTTTGTGATTTATGGTATTTCTCTAACAAAGAAACCAAACGTTCATCGCGTGCTCGATCATCCAAGACCTACAAATTTACAAATTAATAAAAAATAAATAAAAGAAAAAAAAAAGCTATTACTACAAGTTGCTTAGAACCATGTGCACAACAAAATCATCGGTGTCAAATATTCTTCAAACAACCACAGTGCTAACCACACCTCTACTATCTGCATGACATCATGGTTGGCAGCTAAATCCTCTGAACCTACAACCACCTGAAATAAAGCTCATCTTTTCAAACAAAGAAACTAGAAAAATATAGACCAAGTTGATGTCATGGACAAAGAACCACACCTTAACTGGATTGGGATCCATGAATTCTTGAGCTAATTGATGAACAGCTGGAGGCCATGTAGCACTAAACATAACCATTTGACGAGCTGCATAAATTTGGGAGTTTTCAATAACTAGTATAAATAAATTTGCCATGAGGCTTGAGGCAAAAAAAATTCAATGAAATAGAAGTAATCAAATATTTTGGAGCTAATTATAGAACAGGTATCTCTCTTGTTCTAGTGCTAAGGCTTTTACAAGCATTTTTGGGTAGCATGTTCATTGTGTATCCAATTGTAGACAAACTAAATTGGACTATTGCGTGCACATGTTCTGTAATTTTTTATCGAATGTAGACCCATAAATGCATATTTTGTTGTCTACTGAGGTTATCTAGCGTTATCATATAGATCTACAAGAGGTTATCTAGTATTGCAACTCAGCTTCAAACTGCAACATTCTTTCATTGAATAACTGGCTTTTACATATCAGTTCTTTCATGACCCACCAAATATTTTCAAAATTTCCTAGATGGCATGACCAAAACACAATTATTGTAAAGACTTGAAACTTCCATGTTAACTTTAATTTTATTTTTTTATCTAGTTCGTACAATAGAATGGTTAGCAAATCACTTTCATCCAGTCACTCCTATATTGCATCCCAAAGATCGTGGAATAATTTATGGGAAAATTCCCATTCAGTCCTACTTTTTCTTGCAATTTCCATGGAGTACTATTAACACATGAATCATTCCTCTCACTGTAGTGTTAATAGGATTGATGGGAATTTTATGTAAAAAATAGGACTTCTTGGGATTTTTTCCATTATTTATCAATGTAGTTTATATGTTTAAATCATAAATAGAAATGGCAAACCTTCTTTGATTTTGGCATCCCAACACCCTACAGGAACCCCCAAAAACTAATCAAAGCAAATTTTTAAAAAAAATAGACACAATAATCTATAATGACTCTCACAAAGGTTTACAAGGACTCAAACTAAAATGTAAGATACGGATGAGGCTGCTTAGGATGCCATGTGTTTACTACAACATGAAATCAATTAAAGAGAAGAAAATGGAAAGAAAGAAACAAAATAAACAAACAGGAAGAGGAATAATAAGTGATACAAAATACCAGAAGAAACAAAACAAACAACAAAAAAAGGAAATCAAGTGATACAACATACCAGAACATGTTTGACTCAATATAGAACGAACTTCTGGCTCAAATCCCATGTCAAGCATCCGATCAGCTTCATCTAGAACCTGCCAAAAGGAAAGGAGTTGGAGACACTAGTGTAGGGAGCTGGAATGCTATAGTAAATCAATTTCAACAAAATTCCCATATCCAAGTCTGACGCAAGTAAATCACTAATAACTAGAACTTGAATAAAAGATTAAAGGGCTTTCAGGCTTTTTGCTGTCATCTTTTTCTAGAAACAGAATTCACCAATACAACAATCAGATAAGACTAAAATGTTCTGAAATACATAAGGCATCTAAATAAATTTAGTGAGCTAGTTTACGATCCATGAAAAGACTCCCAATTGGAGTTACAAATTGGGGAAGGATATTCACTCCCCTTGTGAGAGGCAATGGCCCTGTTTGGTAGGGCTTATTTCCAGCTTATTTCAGCTTTTAACTTAATTTAAGTTATTTTGATGTGTTTGGTTCAGCTTAACAATACAGCTTATAGCTTTTTGTAAGTCAAAAATCAACTTATTCTTTGAGTGAGGGAGGAAAAGCTTAATTTATAAGTCAAAAATCAGCTTATGTTCACAGCTATAAGCTATAAGCTGTTAGGCTATAAGTTATCACTTTCCCACAGCTCTACCAAACAAGGCCAATATAACTAAAGAAAAAAAGTGTGAAAGACTAAAAGGGGATTGTGAACATCATTTTGTACAAATATGAAAACTCTCAAAAGTTAAAAGAGAAACAAGAAACTTCAAGCAAAGACTCCCAATATTATAAACACATTATAACTGGTCCCAACAAAATAAAAACTAACAATTTGAACAGCCAAATCTTTTTTTCACCTCAACACTAAAAAACCTAATCTTTATAATAGCCTACCCAATATATTCAAAAACGAATTCCTCCTTGTTCTTGTCAAAATTTCCATTTGGTTGGTAAGCTTCTCTAAGCATCTCTGTACTTCCATAAGCTTCTTCATAGCCCAAGATGGGCCTCATCTCCCTGACAATCCTCGTGTTTGAATGTGTTGTTTTGTGTTACAAGCATGTCGATGTAACTCTAAACTTCTTCCAAATCGCCATTATGAATTTCATTACTTTATAAATCATAGATCACACTCCCAAAATAAAACTTTGTGCAATAATACATAAAAATTGGGTTATTCAACTAAGTTTTTGGCTTTAAAATGAAGTACAATTAGAAAGTAAGGCCGCAAGAAGTAAATCAACACTGCAAAAGCATGATGGTAAATGGAAATGAAAACATCAATGATCTATAATATTTAGAGAAAATAACAAGTTTTAACCTTTCAACATAACATGGAAGAGAAAAGAAGCATCAAATGGAAAACACTTACCACAAAAGATACCTCCTTCAAATAGCATATGCCCATTTCAATCAAGTCCTTCAAACGTCCAGGAGTTCCAATAACAATATCCTAAGTACACGAGGTGGATGGAAAAAAGAAACAAAGAATGACATAAAGGATGTGAGTTAACGATAGATAAGTGCATCAAGCAAACCAAAACATCGACAATTCACTAGATAAACATTATATCAAGAAAATGAAGCATAATCCCAACTAAAACAACAACCATCATTTTTTCTGTCCATCAAATCTCATTTCAATGTGTTGTTTTGGTTAGCTTGGAAAAGGAAACATTTTAGAAACATGAGGAAAGCAGTAACAAATTTTGGAAACATTGAACTGTTTAACAGTAAAACAAAAATCTACTAAATGTGTATATAACATAACCTAATATAATTATACATGTTAGAGGTCTACTAATCCATTCACATAAAGGACACAAACGTACACTTTGGTACTAAATCCCAATACAAACTAAAAGTCGTTCAATTAGAGTTCAACAAATTAACAAACACAAGTGTTTATGATTATGAACATAAATAAGGTTCCTATCATTAAGATTCACAAACATATAGGACATAAAAATAACAACAAACAACACCCAATCAGTACACATTAATATGTGAGGGATGTCTTTTTAGCAACAAGATTTAAAAGGGCCTTTTAATAAGGTTAAGAAACATGATCAACAAAGATCAATAAATATTAAAACTTAGAAGACAAAAAACATTGGTTTAAAGGGTTGGATTAAGATCCAGGGTTTTCTATTGTAAAAGGAAAAAGAAAAAGCATAGATTGACATTGATCTCCCACTAATGTTTGTATCAGTTTCCATCAGAACAAAAACATTTCAGCCATTTCAATGGGAATGAAACAAAAATTTTATTCCTTGCTCTCCACATATTCAATTGCAGATTTGTACCCGGAAAAACATTGAAAAATCTATAGAGCACATGATAACAAGCTATTTCAGTTCAAAGGGGACTCATCGGAAGTAAATTTGCCATCGCAGATTAAAAAAATTAAACTATTCCATCAATTAAAAACAAAACTGTTAGACTAATGTTTGTATCAGTTTCCATCAGAACAAAAACATTTCAGCCATTTCAATGGGAATGAAACAAAAATTTTATTCCTTGCTCTCCACATATTCAATTGCAGATTTGTACCCGGAAAAACATTGAAAAATCTATAGAGCACATGATAACAAGCTATTTCAGTTCAAAGGCGACTCATCGGAAGTAAATTTGCCGTCGCAGATTAAAAAAATTAAACTATTCCATCAATTTAGGCCTCGTTTGGGAACAGGCTAATTTAGTAACTTTTTTGCTATTTGGCTAAAATATAAGCTAAAAAAAACTAGTATATTTGAGATGACTTTTTGGCTTTTTACGAAAAGATGTGCAAAAAGTAGAGAGAAAAGAAAATCTTTGACTTTTTCGTATGGGTTGTTGGCTTTTTGACTTTTTTAGTAACTTTTTGACCTTTTTGCTAAACCGGCCTGCTGCCAAACGAGGCCTTAAAAACAAAACCAAAAAATTCGACATTAAAAAATTGATGTTAGAGAAATTGCAATTGGAAAGGAGATTATGCACAAGTCAAAGCTCAGAAAAGCAAAAATCTAATATAAAATGCACTTTCCAAATTGGTATCATTATCTAGAATCTTCTAGACAGCAACCTCTGTGTTGTCATTATCTTTGGTTACTTCCCTTATAGAAGTGCCAAGAAAGAGAGTTTTGGAAGGCTACTCTAGCGGGCTTAAAGAGTTCTAGAGCAGCAAGGTGTTGTCTATGACCAAAAGATTGGTGCCAGTCTGCCAGAGCACTCAATTTAGCATTGTCTAGCACTCTAGCGTAAAGGAACATCCATGTAAAGAGTGCTTTAGTGGCTGTAACTAATAGACTAGCAACTCAATGATACCATAAATATTTTGATACCCAACTTCTCTCTACACCTACGTGTAGACACCCCATTTTTGACCGCCCTCAAGACTTGTGCACTTTGTCCTAAGCACTCAATGATGAAAATAGCATTGTGTGATTTGAATTCTCAACGAAGGAATCCAAGGTCGAGCTTTTAAAACAATCCCAAAACCTTCATATTTACCTTGTTCTTACCTTAGAGGTCTATTTTTAAACATTGTGCCACCCTACACTGAGCCTAAAACAGGGGAACACATTGGGGCCCGGCCATGCCTAATTGGGGGCCAGCCGTGGCTATTTGGGGCCGGCCGTGTCCTGTGGGCAATAAACATTGTTCTGGGCGGAAGCCCGCTAGCTAACCATTTTTGAAGATATTTTCGACCTATTTTGCTCAAATTCTATAAATACAAGCTCTTAGCTCTATTTTGAGGGTTGAACAATTTCTAGAGAGCATATATACACACTTGAGAACCCCTTCTTCTTGTACAAGCCACCTTTGAGCAAACGTACACTCTTGAAACATATCTATACACCACAAACAGCCTTAGAGCAAAGCCTTAGAGTCTTGGTTGAGGCTTATGAATCACAATTCAAGCTTGAGAGTGTGCTTGGACTAAATTTGGCTCACAAAAAGGGCTTGTCCTCTTTAAAAGGTATAAGCTTACCACCTTTTCTTTTGATTTTATTTTTGTTTTTTGCTATCAATTTCTTGTATCTTTGTGTTGTTTTGAATCCATTTCAAGTGTTGAAATTTGGATTTGAATAGCTACCAAAGGTAAAAAGGTTTAACACCCTTTCTTGCACCTTACTTCATAGCTCAAACCCTTGTCTTCACACTCTTTTCTTTGGTCTTTAGACTGATTTTTAGAGTTCAAAAAAGGCCAAAAAACATGGTTTGAGGTCTCAAAAATGGAGAGGTTAGCTATCTCTCGTTGTTCTTGTTCACTAGCCTTGTGATTCCTTATTATTTTCTATCTTTTTTTGTGTTCTTTAAACATCATTTTAGCCACTATTTTTTTCACATATTAGGGGTTGTTTTAGGGCTGTCCTAATTTATTTAATTAGTGTATGCTTGGAATGCCTTTCTTCTTGTGTTGAAAGTCTTCATATCTTACTTGTTGTGTTGTGTTGTGTTTATCTTGTTTTGATTATCTTTTGGTAGCTTTTTTTCTTTGCTTGGTTTTCATGTCAAGAGTTTCATTCTAATAATCAATCTCGCAATCATTTATGCAACCTCCCTCTTTTTTTCTTTTCTTTTGTTTGAGAGTTATGTCAAAAGATTGATGGTTATTCAAAGCCTGGGAAAAAGACCTATGTTCAATGGCTTAATCTCTACGGAGGTTCATCGTCAATACATAATCTCTCTTTCATGCTTAGGATCACTTCTCGTTTGACATTTCTTTTCATCTAATGGAAAGGACTAAGAAAACTAGCTTAAAATTGGACCAACCAATATAAAGAAAATGAGTTAGATTGCTTGGGTTCAGCCAGACGTTATGCCGAATTCATCGTGTCAAGAGTCATCACACATCAATTCATGATATTTTGATGATTCTTGAAGCGTCTCTACTTCCCTCTTTGAGCTCACTTCATGATAGGAGGGAGGAGTGGTTGTTCATTACATTTATTGATTTTTGTCCAATTGTCTTCGAAATCATCAAGCAATCAACTTGTTTATTGATGGTTTTGGAACCAACTTTGTTCTTCTCTTGAGTCTCTCTATGACAGAGAAGAACAAAGCTTAGAAAGGCTTTGTCTGCACTATTTTCACCTTAGAGCACAAAAACAAGATTTTATATGAAAACAGGGCACAGGCGGCCTTGTTTGGACCCGGCCAGGCCTCATTTGGAGGCCAGCCGGGCTCCAATGTTTGGTAGGCAGAATGTTTTTGCAAAAACAGAGGGCAGTGGTTGAAGGTGAAACAGGACAGATTCCTACGAAGGCAAACAGAGTGGCTTCTGAAACTTGTCTTCTTTGATGTGCATGCATTGCTTTAATTCATTATTGTTATAATTAATTATTATTACTGTAATCATTATTGTTGTAAATTATTATTGTTGTAATTAGTATTGTTATAGTAATAGTTTATTTGTAATTGTTATAGCTAATTAAATTAGGTAGCTAGTTTATCACTCATTATTAGCTTTTGTTGTAATAACTTAGCTAGTTAGTTATTTATTCATTCATTTGATTTTATAATAGTTAGTTTATTTCGAACACTTGGACATTCATTCAGACCCTCTTGCATGAGGGCAAAATTGTAATAATTGTGTATGTCTTCCAACCCCCATTTCTTTTTCCCTTTTATTTACTTGCTTATGATGATAGCATAGAGCATCATGTTTCCTTAGCTTTTTTCATTATTTGCATCCACTCTTGCATGCATAAAAGCTCGGTTCATCATTCTAATAAATCATTGTTATTGTTTAAATTCTTTGAATACGTGCTTAAACCGTATGCTATCAAATTGATTCAAATACCATGTTAGTAGCCGAGCCCATTAATTGCATAATTACATGTGTTGCATTAATCATATTGCATTAGTTAGGATCATGCATTTTTTTCTAACTTTTTATCTTTTTGACTTACCTCGGAATACTAGGTGAACATTTAATTGCTTTAGCATACCGCATGCGTGTGATTGTTGCTATGTCATCAAAGCATGTTTCCATGAGACTAGGTGCTTAAGTGATATATCTGTTTGAATGACGGTGGATGAAGACTAATTGCTTAAATTGGAATAAATTTATTAACGTACATACAAACTCACTTTTTTCAAGTGAAGCGTATTCAAAACACTTTTTCAAACAAATATGAAATCAAAGTGTTCCAATTTTTGCAAATTAGTGTATATTTGTGTGCATCATATAGTAAGCTACCCTAATAATCGGAACAAGAGCATATACTGTAAATAAGAATTATATCATGATTAATGGAGGTAAATCTTTGATCAGGCGAGTAGGGTGCTCAATTCATGACCTTCCCCTCTTGGACCTAAGTTTCCGAACCGAAACACTTTGGTGATGACGGATAAGTGGCCTTTGACACGAGTCTCAGGTTTCCTAAATTTTCTAAAAATATTTAACTAGTGACTTTGAAATCTAGCAAAGCAGTCTATTTTTGGCATGTTGATTCAAAATCGATTTTTCAAAAGCATTGTCGGATTTGGACTCATTTGTGTTTATTTATTTCACATTGCACTTGTAGAATCAAATTCAGAACCACAGGAGTCCGAACTGTAGGGCTAGTCGTATCTGAAAGGAGCACGAAAAGTCAATCTACACTACGACGTATTAAACTCAATCTTTCTTGGACAATTATACATCCAACCATGTTCAAATGATGAAGATATTATAGTAACTTAAACAGCCATATATATTTTGAAAATGAAGGGTACTCAAACACAGAAGCAATTTCACTCTTAACAGGTATCAAACAATGGTGTGTTGCACCAAATAGGTAAGGATATATCAAGTAGAATGTGATTTACATAAACATCTAGTCAAAATGAGAATGTAATTTCTTTTTGTTTTACTTTTTTTGTGTGGCAAAAATTCAAAATGAAAATAAAATTAGAGAGCAAAATTGAAGTAGTCTTACAACACCAGACTTCAAAGCAGATATCTGGGGTCCTTTAGAAGTTCCTCCATATAAGCAAACTGACTGCAAGCCACAAGGTTCCCCAGCATCACAAAGAACGTCTGAAATCTGCCACCAGCACGAAATGTCAGTGTTTAGCCACTTCTTCAACTAATAAATACCACTAAATCAAGTGAGCATTTTGCATGTAAGGTAGAGCTATTGATAACAAATATATATACACAAAAATAAAACAAGGTCACTGCTACATTGATCCATTTGGCTCTTGATTTCTGTCTCTAGCTAATTTCCTTCTGTAGTTAAAACTCTTCTAAGTGCAACTTCCTCCATCAGTTCAGTGTCATATAAAGAAACTGATTTAGTCACTACATCCACCCCATAAACTTCACAAAACCATACAATAAAAAATTTAAAAAAAGGCCAATTAGTACACATTAATGTGTGTTTGGGAGGGGAAAGATTGAGTACACATCTAACCTTTGACATAATGCACAAAATGATGGTCCCAAGACTTGAACCCATAACCTCAAGGTTATTAGGTCAAATCTTAACCATTGAACCAATGGTCACCCCTTCACAGAAGCATACAATATCTTAAAAAAATAAAAGAATAAGAATTGTACAAGTACATAGAGGGTAAAAAAAAATGGAACCGAACATTTCCAATAATAAGTGAAAACCCCCCAGAAGAAGACCCAAAAAAAAAAAACATTTAAGCAGTCATGCCTTGCAAAGGAATTCTAACTCTCACAACTGATTGTCTTCAGTAGGCCATATGTACTTATTCGTTTTTAACCACTCAAAGTTGTGATACCAATCAATCCCTTTAATATATTTCCCTTTTTTCTCATAGGCAAGGAGAGGTGTTCAGCCATCACAACAAAAGTGTGACCACTGAACAACTCCAAGGTTTCACAGTTTCACTTGCCTCTGAGTGGTACTAATAATTCCTTTAACATGCCTCTATTCTCTCATATCACAGGAAAGCAGGTGAACAAGGTATGACCCTCGAAAGAAAACATTAACCGTTAGGCAGCCAAAATACAAAATACAAAACACTGGTAAGTGTTTTGACCACCATTTTTAGGTTTTTTTATCAACTCTTTCGTACAAGTAGAGTAGGTCCCTTTCTTCTTTATGATTATTACTAATCAAGTATTATGTCCTCTTTAAAGCGTTCCCAAATTACAATTTTTTTGGCAAAATCATGACATACAAGCAGGAAAACCAAAAAAAGCAGAAAAAGTACTTTTTATCTTAGAAAACCCATTTTTACATACAATGAGTAAGTTGAATATGCCAAATTTAAGACAATTCAGAAAGATGAACACATACTTGTTGCGCCAGCTCTCTTGTGGGTGAAAGTACAAGGCAAAGTGGATTCACTCTCTTGGACGTTTTATTCTGGCGCTTCTGCAAAACATGCATTATAGCTGGAACCCCAAAGGCCAGTGTCTTACCTGATAACAAAAACCATTATACTTAACAACACATATAACAAGATTCGTACTTGGCAAGTTGGCATTACAGATCAATCAACAAAAAACACCATAAAATTACCTGACCCAGTTGCTGCAATCCCAATAAAATCGCGGCCATTCAACAAGAAAGGCCAAGAATGGGATTGAATTGGTGATGGCTTATCAAAATTTTTGCAGCATTCCAAAACATCTTTAGGAAGCCCAGACTCTACAAAAGATTTCAATGCTGCGTATTGTGACTCTTTTATATCCTTCCCAGACACCACAGCACCTACATCAATTTTTCTCTCCTCCCCATCAACAATCACACCATTCTTGTTGTTCTCATCACATTTCTCAATCGACCCATTATCAATAACCAACCCATCTTCCAAACCCTCCTGTTCTTTCTCTCTTTTGTGCTTCTTCTTCTTCTTCTCACCTACCTCATCTGACCCATTTGATATTTCGTTCCCTTTGGCACAATCAAACACCGACCTAGTATTCAAAATCTCCTCCCCTTTCTCTCTCTTCTCTTTCTTCTTCTTTTTCTTCTCCTTCTTGACCTCTACAACCACCTCAGGCTCGGTCTCTTCGAGCTTCCTCTTGTGCTTTGCTTCTTTCTTGTGCTTGTTCTTCTTCTGAGCTTCGATTTCATGGTTGTCTGTGATGTCCATTGCTGTTTCTTGTTTTCGACCCATAACAACGGAACAGGAACAACGTCGAAAACTTTGAGTTAGAGAGGATATACTTCTAGGGTTTAAGGCTCTTTCACTGGGGTCTTGGATGCTCCGTTTCCTTATGTGGTTCTATTTGACCTGACCCATTTTTAGTCGGGCTCCATGACTCGGATTTGCGACGTCAATACCCGAAATATGATGAGTCGTGGTAGCCTTGCCCTGCCATATTTACCGGCCCAATAATAGGGCATGTATCAGGGTAATAAATGAACTAAATGAGCCAAATAATTAACCGTTCGAGTTTTATTTGATATCTTTAACGAGTTTTAAAATTTATTTAAATTTAATTTATTAAACTTTTGAATCAATCTCAAAGCATCTCAAATTGTGCAATATGGCTTGCATTGCTATATTTTACTTTTAAACTTTCAAATTTTCACTCTAATGATAAGTTGTGTGACTTGCTATATATTACCTTAAGTAAATATTGTGTCAAATATCGCATAAATTTTACTTATAGTTAAAATCTTTGTGTCTCATTCTTTTTCCTAGTGATCCACATATAACATTTTGATTTGACATGAAAGTTTAGATTTTTTAACGTTGCATCATTGGAGCAAAATTGCTAAAATTAAATATTTTAACACTATTCATTGTTAAATTATAACAATAACTTTTACCTATCCAATCATTAGAGATGCTCTCAAATTAGTTTTTATCGAACTGAGCTCAAGTAATTTTATATTTTATATAATTTTAGATTTATTGAATCAAATCGAACGAATAATTGATTGTTCAAACTTGGTTTGAAAACTTTAATAAGCTCTAAAATATGTTAAAACTTGACTTATATTAGTTTGGGATTGGGAATCACTAGTGTTTTTTTTTTTTTCAATAAATTTGTTGATGAGAAAATTAGTACATTTGTAAATTATTGAGAAAGTTTAAGTATGTTGATGTAGCTTGTAATTTTGTTTAGAAAGAATTGAAATAATTTAAAGATAATGTATTTTCTACATTCGTAATTAAATTGTTTATTTGATCAATTACTTTATTTTCCTTTATATTTAATAGGATTAATTGTTGAAAAGTCCAAAATAAGAAGTGTATTAGGCATTAGATCTAGTAAATATTTTTTATTAGTGAGAAGTCTACCTTGTATGAAAAAATTTGGTGAGAAATCCTTTTGTTATTCTACAAAGACATTTTGTTTCCAATTTTACCCCTTAATTTATCTGTTAGATTTTTTTTATCTATTTAACTATATGTTCAAATTTATATCTATTTGTTCAATTTTTTTTTCTATCTGTTCAAATTTATATCTATTCAATTTTTTTGTTTATTTGTTCAAATTTTTGTGTCTATCTGTTTAAATTTCCCATTTGTTCAAAATTTTTAACTACCAATTTAAATATTTTTTTATCTATTAATTTTTTTAACCTATATGTTAATTTTTTTTATCTGTTGAATTTTTATAGACTATTTTCTCTATCTGTTCAAATTCACATCATTTTCAAACTTCTATTTCTTTTTATATGTTCCTCTCTCCACTTCTTTTTTATCTATCTATTGAATTTTTACACCTCTTTATCTGTTGAAATATAAAGCCAAACTAATACCTATTTGTTGCAATCCAAACCAAACCCTATATATTCTAATTTTTTCTCTCTCTCTATTCAAATCTTTCTTTTTCTCTCATCCTTATCTATTAAACACAAAAACAAAAACAAAATTTATGTTTCGTCAGCAAAAACAACAACAACAAAAACAAAAACATCAACAAAAAAATTTTTAAAAAAATGAAAAAGTGTCATCATCATACAATTAATCATCAACATCTTCCTATACAAAAAAAAAAGATTGGCACTACGACGGTGTTAGATCGGTTAGGATTTTTCTGATTTGACACCACAGATAAGAGAGTCGAGAGAGTTCTCTCTAGATTCCTCCTCCTTATCACCAGCGGCAACTTGTTCAAATCAAACCCCCTAATTGCGATCCGCTTCTCTCTCATTTATGAACAATCAATGTGAGATACGAGAGTCGCTAGAGCGCGCATTCTCATGATCTCACGTACCACCGCCTCAATGTACTTCATTTCCTTCAATAATCGGCGGAGATTGGAGTGTTTGATTCCAGTGACCAAATTGCAGCCACTTCACGGTGAACCTTGGCGAGGACCTCTAGGTGAGTGTCAAAAAAGCGCTACCATCCACGACAATGACGAGATCTCGGTTGGGTGGTTAGTGAGAGAAAAAGTGAGGAAGAAAGAGAGAAAGAGTGAGAGTAGAGGGAAGAGAGAAATGGCAGTGGTGGAGTGGTAGGAAGGGAGGGAAAAAAAGTGGTGGTAATGAAGAAAAAAGAGACAAAGAGAGGCATTGGTTTTGATATACTAAGGCTTATTTGGTTTGTATCTCTAGATACAAATTTTGGAAAATTTTTTTAAAATTTTGTTTAGTTCAATTTTTTTGATTTTTTTTAAAAAATCACTTTATGTCTCCTATACATCATTCAATAACTTTTTCTCTCTCATCTGTCATTCTCAATCACTTTTTCTCTCACACACATCCACTCAACTATAACAAAATATTAAATCATTCAAAACTCTCAAACTTCATAATTATTTTCAAAATATACAACAAAACAAACTAAAAAAAGGTTTAAACTCTCTCCCAAAATTGTATTTTGAAAATTTATCTCAAAATACAAATCAAACACACCTTAGGGTTTTGATATGGAAACAACCTTTATATATGCATGGGTAATTTGGTCATTACGCAAATACATGTCTTATGGACAAAGTAATTTAGTGCGTGGATCTTGTACCAATTGATATACTAACTAGTATACCAACATGCTTTATGACACTATTACTGACCTCACCCATTAAATGAATTACAAATACCCAAAACCTTTAAAATTATGTCATATCATCTATTAGTACACTAATTAGTATATCAATTGGTACACATATATAACATTATTCATTCAAAAAGGTGGTGCTACCTGCACCAATTGGTATACTAACTAGCGTATCAACATGCCTTATGACATTATTACTGATTTTCACCCATTAAATGAATTACAAATACCCGGAAATCTAATAATTCTCCTTGATATTGGTTTTTGATTAACAATTAATGTTTTAAGTATTTCTAATTGAGGTAAAACAACAACATCAACACAGTTGTTTGATAGGCGTTTGGATTTTACATGCTTTAATTTATATTTTTTATTTTAAAAATCAAAAAAATTAAGCTTGTTTTATCAACACAAAAAAAAAAACAATAATAATAAAAAAATATTAACAAATTGGCTTATTTAGGTCATATCATCTGTCAATTTTTTTAAACATCTTTTTGTAATAATTAAAAAAATTATAAAAATAAGTTATACCCAAATCAAACCTCAATTATAAAAATTATTAAATAAATTCGAAACACCAAAGGATGTATGTCAATCCAATGACAATTTAGGGCAACAAGGTTAATTGTAAAAATCATTAAATAGATTGAAAATACCAAAGGATCGTATGTCAATCCGTTCATAATTTAGGGTTAATTTAGATATGACTTATTTTTTTAATTTTTTTACTTATTATAAAAAAAAAGTATAAAAAAATATAAAAGTAAAGTGATATAAATGAGCTAATAAATTACTTATTTTTTATGTTGCCAAAATAAACCTTAATTACTATCTAACCATTTAGAGCGTCTCCAACTCTTCATCAGAGGTTTTATGAAATTTAAATTTGATAAAAGATTAATGAAAATTGTGCTCTAATTGTTTCATTAGTTTAGTATCAAATTGAGAATGTCTTAAACTTTTCATCAAATTAAAGATGTCTAGAGCCTTTCATCAAATTATTGTAAATAATCATTAGTACAGAGCACTAGATGACCGGCTGGTCACCCTCCAGACATCTGCTTCTTTGCAATTTACACTGGTCAGACATCCTCTCGGTCATCCTCCCTGTCAATTGGTAATTTGATAAAAATTCAAAATTCTTCATTGGAACGCTCGTTATTAAATCAAGCTTTTATTTAAATTTAATAGAAAAAAAATAAAACTTGGAGATACTCTTAGCCTCCACTTTTAAATTGGCACACAAAAACATGGTAAATCTAACTTTAAATAATTATTCTAAGATTATAATGCCTATATTTATATACTATACCAAGGTTTATTTAAGAAGTGACTTTTTTTAGCATTTTTTTAATTAAAACATGTGATAAAAAAATAAAATATTTTAAAATAATTTTTTACAAAAAAAATGTATAAAATATGAAAATATTAAAATAATATATTAACTTTTTAAATTTGTAAGGACTTCTCAATTCTTTAAATAAATACCATCACTTCTATTGATAAAGTAATATTACACGGTAGTACTATATGCATTAATTAGTATATCAACACTAGTTATAACATTATTATTGACCCCACTCATTAATTATATTACAAATACTAAAAATCTCTTAAATTATGCCACATTATCAATTGGTGTACTAATTAACTAGCCTATCACCCGTGCTATGCACGGGATAATTATAGATATTTATATTTGTTTTAGATTTTTTTAATATATAAATTATTTTTTTAAAGATTTTTTATAAAAATAATTTAACAATCTTATCACTAACTATAATGTATGAGAGAAAGTTGAAAAGGATACTATAATAATTATATACAGATTATATCTATGATTATTTGTATGAGGGGATTTTAAATACTGATCAGGAAATTTCGACCAAATCAATAAATGCAGGCATGTACAAAGACATGTGGATTAAAAAAAAGTTAATAAATGCTGATAAGGGGATTTTAACCAAATCAATAAATGATATTTTTTTTTTAAAATAAAAAATTTAGAAAATTCAGATTGGGATATTGAAGCTCCCACAGGCCTTGGGGGTTAAAAATCCTATTTTGCTTAATATATAGTATGGATAAAATTTTAAAACTGTCGCTGAAACAATTAGTGACATTTTTTAAAAAACACAGTGAGTTAAAAAAATCAATTACAATTTTTTTTTTCAAAATACAATCTAATCATTATTAATAATTGATACTTT